AGAAGAACGTGCAGAACGAGTACGCTCCACCCGGCAGCGAGAGCTTCCGAAAGAGCAGAGAAAAACTTTCAGCGTGAGTATTATCTGTCGTCTATGGTACGCATCTAGGCGCTGTTAGGAGTATTCAAAGGACTCGTTGTTAATCTGTTTTCGTCAGTTCTGTGGATACTCAGGTTAAGCAATGATACCCGCAGTTGAACCACAATAGAAGCAATTGCAGAGAAGAAGACTGAAAAAATTAAGGCCTAAACGGGATTCGAACCCATGTCCCTCAGATAATAGTTGGACACTAGCACATTTTAAAGGATTCTACTTTCCCGTGGAGGAATCTGATCATAAATCTTCAATGAAATTTTTTTATTACTGGAAAAAAACTATGAATTTCAACTCATCCTCGCTGCAGAGCAATCTTCGTCGTCTTTTTTTCTTGTTTAATACAGTAATTTCGTGTATTTTGCAGTTTGGATGGGAAACTGATTGCTTTGACCGAAATCTGCCGAGCGATCACGTATACAGAAGCTATTCCAGTGTGGGAACACATCTTTGCTCCTCGGGAATATCTCAACTCTCAATTGGAGGAGTTCTTTACAAAGTGAGTTTATCCTCAGAGAATAGCGATTGTGTAAGGTTGGATACATTTACATGTGTAGGCTCTTCAGAGACCGGTCGTTAGTAATCGCTGGGGAGAGGGGGAGTGGGGAGGATTTTAGTTGTGCCTCGATATAAAATTCACTTGACCCTCCACAAGGCTCTGTTTTATTACTACCATAAACCCTCCATTCACTCTCAGTTAATTTGGCAGTCAATTTTCTGTACTATGGTCCCCCTTTATACTCTGTTGGTGACGACTGATCCCCGCTCCTTTCCACTAGGAAACCATGTAATCCTCCCAAAAACCTCCGTCTCACCCCCATTCCCACCCCACAAGATGGAGTGTTTACTGGAGAATTTTTTAAGGGAAATCAAGCCGAACTTTAAAAATGGATGCGATACATCAGTTGAGGTTTTTTTTTTTTCTCATTTAAATGTTTAAACCCTCCATTTCATATCCACCCATCAGTTACTTCTGCAATTTCAACACTATTTTGGGTCTTACTGAGTCACTTTTACTCCTTTCTTGCTAAAAATCAATGACCATCTTGGTAGGTCTGTGGTGACTATGGCACAGTTTGATTCTGATAACCTTAGGATTGCACGTCCCTCGGAGGTCCTAAGCAACATTAAGGTAATGGTTTCAATTCAGAACTTTGGTCAAAATTGTTTCCTTTGTTCTCTGTTGGTATTGAAGGGTCTAGTATGCACATATATGGGCATCCAGTTGGAATCAGGCCCTAAGTGTCGCCCACGTTGGTTAATCAATATAATTTTTTGCGCATGCGAAACACAGTTTTGCGAACGTGCAGACGTTTTACTATCACGTGACCAGAAAACATTTTTGACATTCTTAGAACTGATGTCATTGCTTTGTTTCTATTTTCTGCTTTCGCAGGCAACAATGGCTTCCTTGAGGGGTCTTGAGAACTACAGTGAGTTTGTTACTTAGTAGAATTCTTGGTAACCTGTTGATTCCATTCATAAGTAGAACGTGACTCGCTTAAGCTCATTATATAGGACACGAAGGAAAAGAAAACCAAACATCATCACATGACTTGTGGGACAGCTTGTTTACACCAGGGCCCAGTTGTTCAAAGGTCGATTAGCCCTAACCCAGGGTTGAATTTTAATTCAGGTTTCTTTATTTCTTTGTCCAAGAGTCTTTTAGGGAAAATTTTCACTATTCTTTTTAGAACATCCAATGATCAAATTGGAAGCAAAAAGATTTGAACTGAATTTTCTCTTAAAGCTTTCAGACCTGAAATCAAATCTCACACTAACCCTGAGTTACCTTAACCCAGCTTTGAACAACCCGGGCCAGATTTGTTGCTTGCAATTTATTTAAAACTCCCCTTGCTCCAAAATCGAAATGAGTTGGAACCTTTCCTTTGGGACGCCTCCATTCAAGAAACACAAACATTTGTCACGAGCTTATCCCAGCTTCCACGGCGACCAGAAGTGTCGCTACTCCCCCTGGGCAGGATTCCAGACCATTATAAAGGACCTGTTTTTGATTCCCCGGGGTCTCCCCATAATAGATGTCCCATTGTATCGTGGTGTTTATAACCGCACCCAAGTATCATTTCAGTAGTTGTTGTGGTTGCTAAGAGATAATGATTGCTGTGTTCGTTTCTTTCAGCTGGTGTAGACATGGCTCGGTTGTTCAATCATGTCTTGTTACAACAAACACAGCCTGAAGACAGCCAAGGAGCTATAACTATCACCAGCATGTATGCTACATGGTAAATAAGTGTTGTTTTGTTTTATAATTTACACTAAAACAACATCATATAGGTCACGCCAGAATAATTTTATTATACAGTCTGTAAATGAACGCGAACAACCCGGAATTTTAAACTCACATCTCTTACGGAGCACCTGAGTCATGGAAAAGAGCTGGAGATAAAACAAACTGAAGTTCTTGTGAACATCTTCCGTCATCAGGTACCTTGATGTTTTCTTGCGTCGTGTGATGACGGATAACATTGTGTTCTCTCCTCGCCGTCGAGCTTTCGTCAACAAACCTGGTCAGTCTTTCAGAGCAGAGGAGTACACGGACGTCAATGGTAAGTGAATGAGTTTCATTGTCTTTTAGAACATACTGTCAGGACTGCGTGATGTAATTGTTTTATCTTCAACAATCTGATATACAGTATACTTTACATACCCGAGTTGTTCGTGTTTTTGGCTCTTAATCAGAACACTTCTAAAATCAACTATCTAATGCCGAGATCCGTACTGAAATTCTCCTCTATAGCCGCTTTTCCTTTTCTTATCATTTTTAAAGGAGAATTTGGTGTTATATCTAAATAACACTTTCTAGCTGTTAAGTTTCTTTTATCCCCTGACCTGTTTAACCAGAGGATGTATTAAGAGTGTAGGGAGAGGTGATATTATGATCACCTCCGGGAGTTGAATGGTTACCCACCCTAACCCAGTCCTGCATGGAGATGGATTGGTTGTATAGACCCAAAATCAGGGCTTTTGTTCGGATAACCCGATCAGCACCATTGAGGTATTTTTAGATTGGGAAAAGCTGCCGGTTCCAATCGTGTCTTGTTCGGAGTGATTATTGCAATGTTTATGGTAGAACCATTTTTGTCGTTTGATGTTATTACTTTGCAAAACTTGACAACCTTATGTTACAATGGAATCGAATGGAATTTTTCTACTTTCAGAATTACAAGCTCTTGCCGAACTGCTTGGTGCGTATGGCATGAAATATCTGGGACAGAAAATGATGCAGCAAGTTGCGAGTCAAGTTGGAGAGATTAAGGTTCAGTTATTAACCCCTTACACCCTAATATCAGTATGCATATTCTCTGTACTGTTCATCATACATTTCCTGACATGTTGACAAGGAGAATTTGTTTAACAATCAAGAGCTACTTTAGTTGGTGATCATTTCCTTTATTCTCATGACCTCAATGGAGAAATTAGTTACTAATCATTCTTGGGGGTTAAAGGGTTAACGTTTTAGGATCAATATCAGTATCTGGGCAACTGCCCACCTACCCCTCCCCTAACTCAACAACAGTCTATTGATAACAACTTAGGGTTAATGTTGGGTTAGGGGAGGGGTAGGTGGGCAGTTGCCCAGATACTGATATTGATCCACGTTTTACCATAAATGCTGCGAATAAGGGCCTGAGAATCACTCCGTTGTAAATTGTGGTCGTTCGGGTTAGGTCAGTCCTGAAAAAACTTCAGTCGGTCTGACGGTGATTGCGACTCAATGTCTCATCACCTGAGTAAGAGAGAGTCATCATTGACCATTTAGAGTCCCAGTTAAGACCAGGGGGTGCTTTGAATATTGATGATATTCGGCAAAGCGATGTCTACTTCGAAGCCGGTTTTTGTCATGCAATTCTTGGATTGGTGTTGCGCCGGTGGCCTTCCAACCATTTTTGATTTCACAATGGATACTTTTGACCAGATGAGTTAAGCAGAGCCCGTCAACGAACCACTGGCTTGCCATGTACAAGTTTCAAACATAGTATGGGTCTTTAACGGTGTGTCCGTCCCATTTTAACATTTCTAGTGATATAGACCTGTTGTAAACCTTCATGAATATTTCAATTTTTTTCTCGGAAAAAAAAAGAATCTTCTTTGTAATTTTTTCATTCCTTTCTGAAAACAGAAACTGGTCGTTCTAAACAAAGATGTGTTGACGAGCCTGCGGACAAGTTTTGATAAACCTGACCAGTGTATGGAGCTCGTCAGAAGGCTTAAAAGTACGTCATGTGATCAGTCATAACTTAACCTGACTAGATCAAAGAAACAACCAATTAATTATTCGGCATCTGTGCTAACCAGAAGAGAAGAGGAACTGTCAATCAACAACTATCAGGCAGAATGCGCATTTTCTAGCCGCATTTACTTGAAGTAGCGAAAAAAAATTTAGATCTGTTACATTTTTACTAGTTAAGTGTAGACTGGGTAATTTGGTATCATTAACTGAGTTGATAACGAAGATTGACCACCGCAAAGAGTTTCAAAACTGACGTTTCGAGTGGAAGCCCTTCTTCAGAGCGAATTCTTTATAAACGTACCCTCTTAAAGCGTAAACTGGTTGGTTTTCATCGGACGAGACTACGCGTGCTTTCCTCTGTTGGGAAACAAAGGCCTCTTCCCCTAGGGGGCTCTAGGGGCATGTTCCCCTAGGAAAAGTTTGAATTCGAGAAGATCAGAAATATAATTTCAACTCTCGAGGCATCAAAAAGAGATCTCGTATCCTAAACAGACGACAGTGAGAGGTCTCTTAGCTGACAATAGACCGCCGCTAAACGGCTGTCAATGAAACTCTTGATCTCACCCGCGTGTTTCTTAAAGTGGTCACTTAAAATGTTTGAGCTTTGCGACTTTTTGCCAAACCCACCAAAATCGGGTGGTACGTCTCTGCTCAGCTGATGGATTTCTCCATTTCGCAATGCGATGGACATGTTAGTTTAGGCACATAGGTCCGATGAAATTTGATTGTTAACCAGTTACTGTAATTATCTTTTCTTAGATATTGAAGATTTGATTATCCGAGTGATAATTGTTGGAGTGATTTTGACTTTCCGTTCTCTGACACAAGAAGCTTTGGAAACTGTACGTTTGTATCTTGTTACGTTAATAAAATTTTAGCTAAACGTCTCGAAAAATTTTCCAAAAACTATTTCAGATTATGCTCGCTTAGATGTTATGTTTTCGACAGATTGGATATACATATACCTATACATATTATACTATATACCTAATAAATATTTATCGAATATTTACGATTAGGTTTTGAAAAAGAGAGTGCCATTCTTGATGAACTGTATCGTGGATTTCAAAGAACATTTTCCTCACGGAAACAATGACCGCCCGGTAAGTGATGCCACTTGCTAACCGAGCTCGAAATCCGCGCTGTAAGTGCGAACCTAGTGCGGACCTAGAACGAGTTACCGTAAGTTACAGCACGGACCGAGAAAACGAGATTAGTAAGATGTTTATTATATTTCCATGTTGGTTCATTATTCCCCCTTCTGTGTTTTTCTTTCTCACCGAACCACAACCTAAAGTTTCCTTTTACATGAAAATACTTTCGATGTCGTGAAGTTTTGCTTAACTGATCTAACCATCAATGACATTTGTTGTCAACATTTTACTGATATCATCTTGATTATTACAGCTCTATAATTCCAAGTTTTTGTTGTTTAAGCTTGTAGAGGAAATGGCGACATCAGCTGGCCTCCAGTGCGAGCTAGATCCAGTCCTTTGCGAAGCTCTTCGCGTCCACAAAGGTGAGTTTTTTTTTGTGAACGCGTTACTTACAGATAAGTCATGCGTAATGACGTCAGTTACTATATTTGACTACTAATAATAGCAATCGTCCTCAGTAATGGATGCTTAACTGAAACAGGGAGGAGGTAAAGGCTTTATTTGTTTCGTTCAAGACTGTATTCTGTCATGAGTTGAGATTTCATATCTCTGTGTTGCCCTTCATCCTCTTAACCATTGTCCACTGACACTATTTCTGAGGTATTGATAACACTGCCAGAATAACTAAGTTTTTATTCAGTCACATCTTACCTGCAAAGCTGGCGATTTTGGGGAAGTATTTCGTGAGCGAACCAGAGAGAAGTGTTTCACGAAAACACTACTATAGTGCCGGCTCCTCAAATTAGCCACGCCTTTTTTCTTGACAAATTGTATGAGTCCAGTTTCTTTTCATTGTGACTTGTCTAATGTATTTTTTCTTTTCTTTTTGTTATAGAAAAGAAGTCCGATGAAGATTCTGTGGTTTGGGCATTGTTCTTGGTAAGTCTTCTGTCTTAAAAGCTTGAAGCTTGGAGAAGAGATTATGTTGCAATTTTTTAGATTTTACTTTGGTCAGTTTTTTCCAAAATCTGTAATGTGAGTGGAATGGAACGAACAACGATTGTCTGGTATGATGGTTTCCACTCTGCGTTTGTTGTTTGTACCAACACAACTTCGACTTCAGCCAATTCTTTGCAGACCTGGTCAAAAACTATGGAATAACTCGATTCCATGCTGTTTTTATTTTGGTAGGAGTCTTCATTATTATTGTCAATATTGGTAAATTTTCTGATCTACGATATTGACGGCAAATTTTTAACGTTGGTTTTCGATTTAAAGCACCAATGAAATGTTTCTGTGGCTTTTTGTAGGTATTCGTAGCTGTGGCGCTTCCATCACTGGCCTACAGAGACTCCTCTGATTACAATGCTGACCTGGAAGGTAACAATTTATAGAGTTAATGAACAAGGAAATGTGTAACTACTCATCAGATCTCGAAGTTGAAATGTTACTGCACGAGTGAAGAAACCGTTACTTAGTCGGTAGCGATGTTTCAATTCTTTCAGCGCATGAAAACAACGCCCACTGTATGTCAGCGTCCATCAGTCGTGTGGCAGGCGCCTTGTGCTTCAACAATGGAGATAGTGCGGAGGAAAGACTCCGAGAATTCTTGGCTGTAAGTACTGAGAATTAGGTGCTCTCTTTAAGCGTCTGTAATAGTCTAGGTCCAGTTGTTGGAAGGCAGATTAGAACTAAACCAAAGTTAAATTTTAATCCGGCTTTCTTTATTCCTTTTTTCAAAAGCTAGTTTGGGATTTTTTTTGTTTGTTCTTCAGAGCATCCAATCATCAAACTGTAGACCAAAAGAATTATATTGAATTTTCTTTTGAAGCTTTTCAAGTTAGATCTGAAATCAGATGTCACACTAACCCTGGGTTATCTTCACCCAGCTTTGGACAAATTGGCACCGGAAGCTAATAATCCTTAACATCCAAACATCAATAGGAATATCCTCTAAACTGTTCTCTATACATTTCCTGATACAAACGAGAGGAATTTGCTTGAAGATCAAGGGCTTATTCAGTTGGTGATCATTTCCTTTATTTTCCTGACCTTCATGTGTGACTCGGCTGTGATGCTGTCAGGAGAAATTCGATGCTAGTCTTTCTTAGGGGTAAGAGGGTTGATAAAGTTGTCAGCTAACAGGGAAATGACTTGGTAATGTATCTTTAACTAAATTTTGCGAAGATTGGAGAAAAGAAAAGTGTTAAGAACCTCTGCCTTGGCACTTTGGCTGCAAGATCTTGACATTTGTCTTAAAGATGGATATCGTATAGATCAAGACTGGTTCTCAACTTTCAGTGTGGGCATGGTATGTTCTGTTACCTTTGTGGTGCTTATATTCTGTCACCTTTGTTTTTAGATCGCGTCCTCCAGTTTGTTGAAGCTTGGCATCGAGGCAGAAAAGGATCTGAAGGCGCGGGAATCCACTTATCTGCTGTTAGACCTGGTTTGTAACGTTATTTTTATGTTTGTGTCGATGTCATGCATCAGTTCAAGCAGTACCTTTTTTCTTTTTTGTCCCAGTGATTGTGTATTCTACAGTTTAGTGCAGCTTGTGTATGATTCTTCAGAGAGTCTTTGTTTTGATTTTTGTTACATCGTTGTTTTCCCGTTTATATTTGTGCTTAGATCGTCAAAGACTGTCCGTACCTTACAATGGACGTGTTAGAATCGTGTTTTCCTTACGCTTTGCTCAGAAACGCCTATCACGAGGTCTACAAGGTATAGTGAATGTCACCCTTAGATCCTTAAATTTTCCAGTGAACATCTGCTGTTAACTATATTTTACTGCTTTTAGGCGGGATTGTCTCAGCCCTGCTCGAAAAGTTTAGGCCTACCTTCTCGCTTCTAGAAAAGGTCTGGATATACTGGGACAAGAAGGTGTTCCTTCGCAGTTTTAGATTGTTAAACAATTCATATTTGCCCTTCCGAGTTTTTCATCGCTAATCCGCATCAACTTGCGATCTTCAAGTAGCTTTGGTTATTTCCTTTTGCGTGTTTATCTCTCTGGCCAAACTAACATTTTGTAGTTTCATTCAAGTTGAAGGGAATGTTGCCATGGGGCTAAAGCAAAAAAAAAAACAACTAAGGCCGGTGATAGTGTAAAAACGATTCCTCTTTAACAACCTCAAGGCTAAAATAGTAGTGATATACTGACACCACAGGCGGCCCACGCGCACGTCTTTACTGACACAAGCTCACAACCCGCGATTGCGGCCGTAGTATAAAACATCTTGGGGTTTGATGTCATTGCATCTACTGACGCTGGCTTGTGACACCACTGTTGGCGTTGCAGTTCCTATAGTTGAGAAACCCTTCCCTTTGCTTGGGTGGAGTGTCTTCTCACATTTTGCTGAAGCGTAGCAGCACGTTAGGCGAAGTAGTAGCGATAATATCTAATGATTTCTGATTTTGTTTCCTTTTTTTTGCCCTCAGAGAAAGCTCGAAGTCTGGCTCTAAGCATGTTCAACTATGAACTTGAAGCATAAGAAGCAAATGAAATGAAGGAGAAAGTTCACTTACTCTACTTAAATTCTCATGATCATCCGATTTATTTTTGAGACATCAATACATTGTATGTAGCTCTCAAGAGGAGATGTCGATGCTACTTAAAGCTTTGATTCGCTGTCAAATTATCCCATATAGTTTTATACAAAATATGAAAAGAAATCCAAAGTGAACATCGTAGCATTTAACAGCGAAGATTCCTTCATTCTTAATTATTCATGTTTGGTATGGTCTCTCTGTGGTTTTATCATTACTATAAATACTCAAACGCGGTTAGCACTTATTTTATGGAAATAGTTGATCTTTGCACACCTCCTTTCATGATGTGTATTTTTCTGAGTTGTCAGGTAGATTTTCCTTTTTCCTTCTCAATTATGGTGCGTTTCTTTTTTTTAATTTCATTTTTTTTGTTCGTCGAATGGTCGAAATAAACTGTCCGCTTGTTTTTGCCGACACTTTATCGGAGCCTTGAAACCTTAAGTTTGGAAATGGGTAATTTTCCTATCAAGGAATTTTTTGTGCTCCGTGTATCTAGTTAATATTATTTTAAATAAAGAAATATATTTTTCAGCGCTGATGGTAATTTGCGTTTTCTTTGGTAAGATGTGTATTTTTCCTAGATGAGGATTAAACCTTGAACTCCCAGATCTCAAGAGTAATTCTCCTCACTGCCTACCATACAGTTCTTATGATGTTGGTTTGGAGAATTTGGTATTTTCTCTCTTCTCGTCACTTTTCTGTTTGTTATTGCATTGATATTGTTAGGAAGATTCTTTCTTGGTCACCCGTGGAAGTTAAAGGTTGAACGAGGTCTTCGCCTTTCTTACTATTGTAATCGGTTCAAGAAATTACGGTAGTGAAACGCGGCAAGAAATTCGACCGAAATTTCCTTTCCAAATAAACGTAAAAAATTACACCTATACCTAAAGTAACACCTTCAAGCTTAATTCGAAGTTGGCGCGCCGTTTTCTAGTTTTTCTCACGTTGCGTAAATTCCAGGAGTGTGGATGAAAAATTAAAATGAAATAGAGACATAAATCAATGAGGGAGTTCGAATCCATAATTTTATTTCACTAATGATTACATAGTTTATCTTAAGGAAAGTCGCAGCGTCTTTAATCATTGTGAAATCGGCAATCACTAGCAAGTAGTGTTAGTTTTTCTTTTCTTTGAGCTAATATTTAACAAAATGTTTCAAATCATGTCCACGAGTACCATTGCTATTACACTCAGAATCACAAATATGGCGGCACTCGCTGGAACACGGCTCAATGTACCTGAGGTCGAGGAATCTTTGGGTTTGTTGCACAAATCAGTTTCACAGCATGACATATCACAACTAGCACCATGGAGACCTTGAGTGCTTACTTCACAGAGGTTCTTTTGCGCTTCACTGCAAAACGATTTCAAGAAGCAATCGAGGTAATACATGTCTAATTCATCACTAGTAACTTTTAGGATCGAACAAGAATCAAAGTCTGAACTGCATTCCACAGTCTGAACTGGTTTGCTGCAGATGATTGCTGAACCAGCAGCGCTGTTGTTGCCAGGCTTGCAGTCATAACATCTGAGGGCAGAGGCTGTAAATAACAGACAAAAAACGGCTCATAAGGCATTTGCAGCAACAAGATTTTAATCGAACATCGACATAAAATCGAATGATTGTAATGGTGTGATCAAGTCAAGCAGTAACGTTTATAAAGCGTGTTCATTGAATACAAGACTAAATGAACATAATCGCACGTTTGAATCTTCATCGGAACAGGATGAAATTGAAATATGAAGTGAAAATTTTTGTCATTCAGTTAATGACACAGGCTTTCTTGGAGAAAAAGAACTACGCGTACTTTGGTGTGAAATGTCTCAGATGTAAGAAATTTCTTAAATGTAATCATCAATGCGCCCTCACGGTGAGATAACAACTGAAAATTTGCACGCAACCGACTACTAAACAACCAGTTGATGAACAAAGCAGGAAATGGCTTTTTACAAGCATTAGTTTTTTATTTGATCTGATGCTCGATTTGCGAAAATTTAATCTTTAGAGAGTGAAAAGTTATAGCCGACATTTTATTATACATTGGATCAATTCTCAAATTTTGAATCACAAGGAAAAAGCACTACTGGCAGATTATTCGCAGATTACAGCAAGGGTAAAAACCTTGCTAAGTTTGTCAACCGTAAGCTACGTTTAAAGTATCTCAAAGTATAGCAAAAAAAGAGAACTTGCTACATCGACGAGGCTGTTTATGTAGTTTGAAAGCAACTAGATCGTTGTAAAAATCATTGAGGGGTTTTTAAATTGTTTTTCATTAGTAACAAAGAGAATTATTGAATGGTATACTCACTGACCTCTCTGAATTACGAGAAATACGGCAACAAACGCCACAGATTTCATCTCTTTTTTTTGGACAGACTTCTGACGTGTTATGGCAAGTTATAGGTTACTTCCAACTTTTATCGCATTCATAATTGTATTTACCCAAAAATGATCAAACAAATCATGGAATGATGGCAAAAGTAATTTTGTATCACATTTACAGAAACATTACTGGTTGAAAATTATACAAAAACAATTTTCCGCTAGCTCATTGGCTGAGAGAACGCTCATCAATCCCAAGCGCTACAGGAAGTGAAATTTGAGTGCGGGAAATTGAGATTAAAAGTGTTTTTTTAACAAATTATGAAATGATTTATAGTGCAATTTGGAGTAAATAAGCTCTCTCAACTTAGTTGCGGCCAATTAGTTTGGTAAATGCTGGTAAAGTTTCTTTATACTAGTTCTTATGTTCAAACACTGGCTCAATTTGTTTCTCTCAATTTTTCATTTTTACCTTGAAACAGCAAAATCTTAAGATTAAAGTTATTGTTTTACAGGGAAAACTATTTTTAACAGAGATTCCACGACTTTGATCCTGGTTGTGTTCATAATTCACAAGATTCTTTAAAATGTTGTATCCACACCGTTGCTCTCATGAAATATGATGGCTGCTAAGAATTTCCTCCTTACGGAGCCATGACCACTTAATGTGATCACAATTTTTAAACTCTATGATTTACACACCATTAATGTGCTAATGGCTTTGGCGCACAATTACCGTTCCTTTTTTTTATTATTTTTAACGAAAGATTTGAGATTAGACAGCTGTATCTGCGCGTGATTGTCGGCCAATTATGTAAGAACTACGCGCACCAAGCACTAAACAAAATCAAGAGAACATCAGCATGTTCCCTGAAAAGAAAAGAAAATTGCTCCTGAATAAGATATCAATTGGAACTCGTCTCAGGGGATCGGTGGAGAAACAGGGTGGAGATTTTTACCACATTACATTATCGTGTCCAGTTGACTTTTCCATAAAGAGAAATACCAAACTGTGCTTGACTTGACTGGCATTGGAAGGCTTGTATTAGTTTTTTTTTAATATCGAAGCCGGTTACCAACGCTCCAATACATTCTCTATCTGGATTTCAATGAATCTAGACGATTGTCTATAGGAAAAATAATTACTCGCATTTTAAATCTCTTTTCATGAGATTATAATCTCTTGGCTCGTGTATAGTTTTTGATCTACTCCTCAATTTAAATACAAGCACATTAAACAATCGAGCAAACGACGATAGTCTTCTACATGATTCAACGGCGCGGTAGGCTTCACACGTTAATACCAGGTCACACATGCTCTCATTACCTTCGCATCGCACAGTGAGCCTCTAATTGAATATATCTTTCGCCAGTTTTAAGCAATATAAAGGAAAAAACAGTGACATCTCTTTACTTCAGATACGAAAGCTACAGTCGCCCCACCATCCACCCCACCGTGACTATTTGCATCCTAAAATTCTACCAGAATCACACCCACGGGGAGGATTTGTCTCATCGTCAGTTTTGCCGATGGTTTAAATCTGCCGCTCGTATGATAATAGGAAATTTTGAAAAATCCCACGTGTACTTTGAAGCTGTTTCCGCCATTGTTCCAAAGTAGCCATATACAGTCATTGTTAATCATTTAACAAAGCCTGCTGTAATCTAAGCTGATCCGCTTTTCTTGATACGTCTCTCCTTGAAAAGCCCCCCTTCCCTCCCTAAAGGGGGGGAGGGGGGCTCTTCAGAGGGTTTTCAGCACTCAGTTCCATCAAGCGCAGCATGGTGTGACCTGTTGTTGATTTAGCGCATGGTTTAACCGGGTTACGAAGACTTCACCACCTCTCACTGCGTCTAGCAAATCTATAATGTTCTATTTTCTCTTCAACAGTTTCCAGCTATACTTGCTTCTTAAACTTAACTGACGCGGTGTTAGTGCGAATCTTACACGGGGTCATACCGGCGTCTTAACTCTTTCACCCCAAGATCTCATTCGTAATTCTCCTTACTGTCTGCTATACCCGGTCATTCTTATTATCTTAGCTCTGAAAATTTGTTATTGGATCAATTAGTTATACGCTAATTGACATTTTTCTTTATTCTCATCTCTTGTTTCCTTGATATTGTATTGGTATTGTAAGGAGAAATTATTTCTTGGTCACTCATGAGAGTTAAGTACTAATAGGTGCGAAATATCAAGTGACGCTAGTCACAGAGTATTACAACGAAATGATAAGGTCACTTAAAGTGCTGATTTTTTTGTCAACATCCCTATAAAGTGTCGAGGTTTGCAGAGGTAGAACGAAAAGACTTCTCACGCGTAGCAAGAAGATCTCATCGCTGAAACATCCCAGCCACAAGCCATGAAAAGATTACATCATTGATGTCACCTACAGGTCAACTGTGAAGGCGTGGTTCCTCAAACTTGGCTGACATTTCACCCAACAACTTCGAAAAAGTTGAGAAGAAAGAGTTTATTCTAACTTCCGCTTCGTAAATAAAAATGATCTTGACTATTTTTTTTCTCATTCTTGCCTTTTTTTTTAAGCTAGAAACGAGACCTTATCATTTTTTGATTCAGCGCTGATGAGGTAAATTTTTGAAGAATTTATTCTGTTAAGCTTTTGAAGTAAACTTTTGAAGGTCGCAGTAACGTATCCTCTGGTTTCCTCGCCGAAAGTTTCGAACTCTCAGCAAAGTTATGGTTTTCGAGACTAATTGAAGATGGTTTGGGTCGATTTTACCCTGAATTATTTGTTTGTTTGTGCAACGGCCGTTGATAACCAAGTGTAGCGTTGCAGAACATTACACTTGACTAACTGAGTTCAGTTGATTAAGTGTTCAAGGAATTTAACGATAAGATCAACAAGACTTACTCGGCCATAGACTCTTAGAATATTTGATTTCTCGAGTCTTCCTGGGGAGTCGTTGGCACAATACCGCTACCTTCTCAATTTTTTTAGGGATGAAATCCTTGTACGAGGCAAATCTTGACTGAAATTTATGGATTGTTTCAAAACCTGCAAAGATTTAGGTAGGTTTTAATTATTCTGTTGTCCGTTAGGCGATTTGCACTATTTTTCATTAGCACACAGGGAAGGATCGCCTGCATTTTATGGGCTTTTTTGGCATGAATTTGTCAGTTATGGCCTCTACTAGTTAACTTTTGCTCAAAGGTTCCTGTCAAGGCCTCTAGTGTAAATACACAGACTCGTTGATCTTCACACGTGAAGTAAAGTTTGGTGTGTCATGAAGACAACAGAACTTAATATCAGCGGGTATAATACGGCCGGTACCGAACCATTGATATTAGCAAAACGATACCACCGGGAACCCCTCTGCTGGAAATTTAAAGCAACATCCAAATTTTGAATCATTTTGTTATTTATTTTATAACTTACGACTTTCAAACTTTTTGTTTTATGATTTTGTATTGTTTTGCTACACTACGGCCCTGCAGGAGACATCTTCGAGGGAAACATCACGAAAACTGCGGTTTATATTCTATAGTATCTACTGCTAAAATACTTCGCATACTAAAGTTTTTGTTCCCGTAATTTTGTATCTGCAAGCAGCTAAAAATCACCATTTTCAAGCTCTAACATCCTCTAGTCTTGCTAACTGTCAAATTCACTATTATTTAATTGTACTTGGCCTGTTGGTAAAGTACAAAATACAATTAATTTCGGGAACATTATTGAATCATTTGTGTTTATTCACTAGCAAGTGTTTGACACTCCTTTTCTAATTCATTCAAACCCAGACCTTGAGGCTAGGATTATAGAGAACTGGAGGAAAACCTAAACAATCATAAAATCTCTCCGAAACACACAGATTAGTGTGATAATCAAACCAGTTATAGGAAAATTTGAAAGATGCCATGCTTACTTAATCTTCTTAGTTCTTTGTGCGGGTACCTGCGTTTCGGATCATTTCACTTGAGGTTTTTTTTTATGTCTTCACCTAAGCCTCAAGTTTAGGAGACATGTTGGGCTTATAGTTAGCATATCAGACTCAAGATCGAAATTTTCGGGTTTGAAACCTAACTAGGATCATTGCGTTTCGTTCTTGGAGAAGTAATTTTAATATCCTAAAGCGTCTTTCCACTCAGAAACACAATTGTGTGCCGGTGAACTGTGGGGAAAAAACAGGCAAACAACTGTGACGGCACAGTTTGAACTCATAAATGTGCAGTTCCTATACTGCACAAGCTGTTCAACTTTTTTTTTATTTTTTTTTTTTTTTGCAACTACTCGTTTCAGTAGTGTTCTTAGCTGCGAGGATCTCCTAGTTTCATCTCTCCACCGCAGTGCAAATATGTGAATTTTCATATATCTAAAATCTTCATTCACTTGGATGTTTATTTGTACCCAATTCATTGACCAGCTCCCAGTTGGCTTGTTAGCTCAATTGGTAGAGCGCTGCTCCGGTATCGCAGAGGTCATGGGTTCAAATCCCGTAGGGGCCTGAATTTTTTTCAGGTCCTATTTACAACTATTCGTTTCAGTAGTGTTCTTAGCTGCGAGGATCTCCTAATTTCATCTCTCCACCGCAGTGCAAATATGTGAATTTTCATATATCTAAAATCTTCATTCTTTCTCTGTTTGCTCAAATATAAAAATATTTTCTGATATGTTATTTCTATTTTATTAACCAGGTACTTGATTAAAAAATTCTAAACGAAAAAGGGAAAAATGGAACCTGGTGAACGGATTGGATTGGCGCGGAAAGTGATCATATTAGCTCCGCACAGAACTGCAGCGATTGTTCGGTGATCAAAAAAATCCCTACCCCTCCCGCCCTGTGGCGCATTATGAGCGAGAGTGTCAAAGTTATTGTTCGTTGTCGACCACTGAATGAAAAAGAGCGAGAAATGAAAACACGACTTGTCGTAGAAACAAATGCTTCATTGCAGCAGTGTAGCATTAAAAGACCGTGGGACAATTCTAAGTCCTCCAAAATATTTACCTTCGATGGAGTGTATGGGATTTCAAGCTCTACTGAGATGATATACTCTGAAATTGTTCGTCCGATTGTAAATGGCGTTCTTGATGGATACAATGGTACAGTATTTGCTTACGGTCAAACCTCGTGCGGGAAAACTTTCACAATGGAAGGTATTGAAAGTCCCTCTGCTCAAAAGGGTATCATTCCTAGATGCTGTGAACATATTCTGAGCGTCACTCGACAACGCAGCTTTGATGAACTTCCTAAATATCTACTGCGTGTTTCTTACCTTGAGATCTACAATGAAGAAATCAGAGATCTACTTGTCAAAGAGTGCAGATACAAGCCCGAGATCAAAGAACACCCTGACAAGGGGATTTATGTCAAAGGTTTGTCCAGTATCACTGTGGATAGCTACGAAGATATGCAGGAGATATTTGAGTCAGGAGGGAAACATCGATCAGTTGGCGCAACAGCGCTCAATTCTGATTCCTCTCGGTCGCATTCCATCTTCACTGTTGATTTAGAATCGTGTCTTCGTTCACATCCGAGAGAAACAGAAGTGTATAGAACCGGAAAGCTCAATCTTGTTGATCTCGCCGGAAGTGAGCGACAAAGCAAATCTGGCTGCACTGGTGAACGATTTAAAGAATCTACTAAGATAAACCTGTCTCTGTCTGTGCTAGGGAATGTCATATCAGCTTTAGTGGACGGGAAGTGTAAATACGTACCTTATCGAGACTCTAAGCTCACAAGGCTTCTACAGGATTCCTTGGGAGGAAACTCTAAAACGATAATGGTGGTTTGTATAAGTCCGGGAGAGAACAACTACGAGGAAACGCTGAGTACTCTTAGGTACGCAAAGCGTGCAAAGGACATCAGGAACAAACCCAAGATCAACGAGGATCCTAAAGACACAATTATTAAACGATATCATGACGAAATTCAACAACTTAAAAAAATAATTGCCAAAGAAATTCCAGTTCCGAAACAGTTAGTTACTGAGCTTAAAGGTAAGGCTTTGTTTTTTTCTTAGATAGTGACGGAGGATTTGGGAGGAAAAAAATAGCCAGATTCCTATTGATAAGTAAGGGCCGCTGAGCATGATTTTCTCAAATCGAGTTTAAGTAGTTTCAGAAAAACTTATGTATCACAAGGGGCTGGTTTGGTCTGAATTGTAAGCACAGGCCAACAGTTAGACAGAGCAATATGAAGACCGTCAGCGCTATTTGCTGAGGTTTTTCATAATTTTAATATTTTGTTATTTTAGTCCCAACAAAGTACGAAATATAAATATCAACTTTTCCGATTTTCTGTATAGTGCGTTGAATACCTTAGCAAAGTTCGCCCCAACGCCGCACATACTTGGGAATATCTCCTGGTACATAGGGTCCCTAGAACGTTAGGGGTGTACTGAGGTAATAGTAATGCAGGTAATGATTGCACTGCCACATTAGCTGTGAACAGCCCCCACTAAAGACAGGTATCAATCAATTTGTAAGGGAGTCATTCGATATTAAAATCAAAGCAAACCTCTCTTTAGTGTCGTAACATCAGAGCAGTTTCAAGTGAGTGTCGAAAGTAATTTAGAATAGAATTGTTTACCTATAATATCTATGATTGGTCCACAAAACCTTGCGCCATCTTCGCAACCAATCAGATACTGCTTTGTTCTGGTTGGCCTTAAATATAGACGAACTCATTTGAAAGTGCATATTGTTATTTACAACACGCATACGTTTACCTTTTTCAGAAACAACTGAAGAAACCATTAGTAAAACATCAACTTACTACCGGACCTTGGCACAGCAAAGTGAGAATCATTTGAGCCAGTCGAGCGTAAAAGATTATCAAATGAGACTTTTTGAAACGCAAAAGCTTCATATCAAAGCTTGCGAAGAAACAACCACACTAAAGAGAGAACTTGATGAACTTAGAGCGCAGCTTCAGATTCAGCGGAAAAGATATGAATACGAAGCGAGAAGGAGCATGCTTGAGGAACATAAAACTGCTTTGATGCTATTGCGCGAGCGACGAATTGCAGACGGATGCAGTGCTTCGGACAACAGGAACCTTGCAAGAGTAAAAAATCAAAGTGAGACGCATTACACTTCGTTCAGTTTACCGGAAATTACGTCATCTAGAGGATTATCACAGGAAATTACGACACGGGAATTGACGATTTCACCAGCACATACAGACCTGGAGTATTCAAATTTTAACTTTGAGAACCTGACGGATGTGACGTCGGAAACAGAGAGGGCGTCAGAACCGGAAGGTAAATCCTCACCGGAAGTACCTGCCATGATATCTGTGTCAACTTCAACGGACGATCTTCGCGATCTCGAAACAGATGTCGATTCAACAGACGAGGATCAACCGAAGAGGGAATGGGATACTCGAGAAAACAGTTTGTGTCGAGAAGAGGCCGAAGGACGATCAAGAAGTGTGTCGCCGTACACAGCAGAAAAGGAAAGGTATGCTGGTGTCGAGCCCTCCAACAGCGAAGTCATTTACCCACTGGACGAGGAGGTAAATATCAACTAGTTTATTGTTTGATATGTTTTTGCCGTCATTTAAGTCTACTGTTCAATAAATAGCATAGTTTTTATCGTCAACACGTAGCTTCCGAAAACTACCCTATCCAAATGAAAATTTAAATCACTGATTTTTAAGCTACACAAGAAATTTATATCAGCGCTAAAGTAAGCAGGAGTAATATACTTTAAGTCAAATGCTTACGTTAAAACACACTTATTACTGGTAAAAAGAAAAAAATTAAAGAAATTGACTTCTTGCTTTTAAGTCTCTTTTTGTACCCTTAACTAATAATTGGTCGATTGAGCTTCTTTCACATCGTCAGTGGTGTTGTTATCCACGTTCGTATTTACTTATTTATTTACCAACCTACCAACTTTACTTTTACTCAATGGCGTAGATGTGCGTGAATTCTGCATATAATTGATCTACAGATTTCTTCTCCATAAAAATGTGTTTATTAAGTTTTTGTGTTAAACTAAAGCCTCTTTTCTTTCTTGTGCGTTTCTGCTTTCGTTATTAAGGGAATAACATGACTTTTTTCGGGAATATTGTTTATTTGCGCCCGCGTAGTGTCATTTGCGGCCCGAGCGCGCACTACGCGGGCGCAAATAAACAATATTCCCGAAAAAAGTCATGTCATTATCAGTATTATCAATAAACAAGACCAAATGATATCAAGAATGCGAGTTTTAATAATACAAGCTAAGTGAAAAAACTGCAGTTCAAAACCGGAGTTTCGCAAATGAATGGTTTTCCCGCGTCAACACTAGGCTTACTCTAATTTTGTTCGCTGAAAGAAATTCGCTGTCTTGCATAATATTCATACTCCTGCTTATCGGAGCTGAAGTCAATTGTCGGTGGATCGCAGCTCGAATACCAGTTAGAGTACTTGGTGTTAGCGGTTGGCCTTTTCCGATTTAACTTCAGCGTAGAATTTCCGCAGTAATTCATTTAGCTCAACCGGTGTTACACAATTGAAGTCAACTTTCAGCTTTCGTTTGTCGCACCATTTCTCTAATTTTTTGATCCCCCACGAAGTGGCTCTCTTTTTATTTTCCGCCTGACCTTTTGCTTCTAATTTGTCCAAATCTTCTAGCCCCAAATCTGAGTTTTGACTGCTAATTTCTTCCATTACTTCAGTTTTCGCTCGAAGACGATTCGACGACTGAAAAAACTGCAGTTCAAAACCGGAGTTTCGCAAATGAATGGTTTTCCCGCGTCAACACTAGGCTTACTCTAATTGGTTAAAATCTATCGGATGATGAAGCAAGAACCAATCAGCTGTAGGGCTGATAATGCATTAGCAGCCCGCTGTCAGTCTTTTGCGGCCCGCTGAGCGTGTGTTTTGAAGAGGCCGATTTTCTATTTGGCCGCGCATATTGATAATAATGTGTGTTAATAGCTACTGTATGAATTTGTAACCTCACATGTGACATTTGACCAACTAGTCTTTCCTCTCTCATGCACCAATGTAATCCGTCTTTAATTCTTTTTTAGGGTCCAGTCAGCGTAGGGTTATGTTGCCTATGCCCAGAGATTTCATTCTTTGGGGAGAGATTCCAATTATATCAGCACAGACGACTCGAGGAGGTTTTAAGAAAAAAGCAAAAACTGCCTTAAAACAGTCCACTCCCTTCACTATTTTTTATAATCACAATAACACATTGATAATAAAAGCCGTTTCAAAAAGTTTTAAGTCGTTTGATTTTATTTAGGACTTGAAGTCGAGGTTTAATGATTAAAGTGTGCCTCAACGATGAAAAAATGTCCTCTTTTTCCCCTTGAAATATGGATTTATTTTCGACAAAGAAATCCAGATTATTGCACCGCATTACAAAAATAATTCTGTCTTCTTTTTAATTTCTTGATCAAACTGAACATCCACCTTTATTGATTATCATTCAGACGCGTTGCGTTGAGCGAGCCGAAAAGAGAGAGACGCAAGGCTTAATTTTTCAAAGTGTGAACCCAGCAAATTAAAAAAGATAGTTTTTAGATATGAGCTCATACCCCAAGCAACATCATTAAAATCTTTACGTCTGGTGGTGAGGTTGAAACAGAACCACATCATGCATACTGGCCGTCAGTTTTCGAGGAATTGAATATCATTTTCAATTGGTACTGAAGTTTATCAATTTTGTGCAGAAGAGAATAAAGGAAAGTAATTATGTCAATGAAATGATGAAATTCAAGTATCATTATCTTAGGCAGCACTGGGCTAATTGAGTATCAATTAATTTGTGAGAAACAAATAGGGTAAGAGAAACATACGAACCCAACTGGGGGTAGGTAGGTAGGCTATTTAGTATTATCCACTGAGTTGATAACGTAGATTGGCCACCGTTAAGAGTTTAAAACTGACGTTTCGAACGTTAGTCCTTCGTCTGAGCGAATGGTGAAGGTGGATTGGCAGGAAGACTGGCTATTTATGAAGGAGAACGAACGGGGAAACTGAGTAAAAGTTTGTTTAGAAGCTAAGGAGGATTTGAACTTAGATGTTAAAATGTAGCGCGCGCCCTAAAACTGACCACTCGGCAAAGTCGTTGGAATATAGGACGATGAAATATAATGAATTATAACCCTTCATCTGTTGTGTTTCTAAGCTGTTTGTCAACGCTTTACGTTTCTGATGACTTCCATGAGTGTGTCTGTAAGTAAGAGTCAGAAATAATGACCGTCTCGTACAGCCGCAGATCCTTCAAGCTAATTTTAACGAAATGGCGGACGACGATGGAATCTGATGTTACCTCATGCTTTTATCGCTCCTTGACTTTTGAGATACTAAGCATAATATAAGCATCATTTTACTCGGCGACTAAGATAGAAGTCGTGGTGGATTTTTCATTTTTATTGAATGAATATATTTAAATGCGTAATACTTTCCCAAATGACACGGATTAGAGGCTTGCTACCAAAACAGCAGGCGTTGATACTATTCTCGTGCAGTAATTGTTGTTATCACCTTGAGGTAAATATGAGCGTTCTGATTGGTTGTTTCTTGGTCTGAACTATGCCATACGGACCGTTTCCACAGTGTATTTTTATATCTCGAAAGCCAGCAGATTCAAAATAAACAAGTTTGGTCGCCGTGTACTAAACTACTTACTAACCACGCTTGCTCGAGCCAAACTGGGGAATATTGGTCCTCAGTCGTTTGCGCTGCGCGCGGTCTGTACTGCCACGAGCTCGGGCTAATATTACCCTGTACGGCCATCGCGCTTGGTTAAATTTCCATATGATCACAGTCAAACCCTAGAAATTACGATTGGGCCTGTTACTTTTGTTTTTTTCACTGTAATGTGTTATAGCGATTGATATTGTCATGTAAACTGCGGTGTTATACAAGTATTTCCATCCTTGAGAAAAGCCGCAACAATACATGTGAAAAAGATACGATAATTTTTGACATGTTTGATACCGCCAATCAGCTGCTGATAAGTCACTTGTCTTTCGTGCAACTCTGTCAAAGCCTTCACCAATCTCAATCCGGATTATGGCTGCTAAAACACAGAAAATTCGTATCGCTTACTGACAGCGACGTTCGATGGCCTTGGCGATGGCATTTCTCGCGGCTGAGAACGAAAATCGACAACTGGAAGATTTGCCACAGGCGGCGTTCCTGAAAATATTTCTTCTGTCGGTGAGGAAAAAGTCAATAAATGAGAATTTTGTAAACGAAAGTTACGCCCGTTGTTTATTTTGCAATGATTCAACGTACTTTTTATGTAGAGCCTTACGGCCAACGTACTTTATGACTTTTTAGGGGGGATTCTGGATCCATTATTTATCATCCATCAATAAACTTTCCGTGTTAGTTAAGGGCTACATTGTGTTTATATGATAAACAAAATAAACATGGGTGCTTGTAAATATGGTTTTCATGTCTCTTCCCGTGTTCAACTCGATATGTCACTCTTTAGCTGCGCTCAATCGTGAGCTATCGAGTTGAACATTTGAAGAGAAATTCCATATCTACGCGCGCCCATGTAGTACTCTTTAAGTATTTTGCAATCAATGTTACCAATAAAAAAATGCATTCTCATTTGTTTTACTTTTTTATTTGTAATGGGTAATGATATAATTGTAGATAGATCGATTGTTTCAGTTAGTTTTTATTTGTCATTGGCCCTTTGTAAAAGTTTGGTAATACTTGTAAGGCCACAAGTTTATTGGTCTTTGGCTATTAAGTACCACCCTCCTGAAACAAAATCTTTATCATCATCATCATCATCATTACTATTATTATAATTAATCACAAAAATATTAAAATGAATAAATTTACAGCAAGAGGTGTCGACGTTTTTGGATTGACTAAGCAAACTCTCCTTAGCTTTTAGTAACATGACGGTATATTCTGATTTAATTCTGCAGTATATCCACGAGTTCACCATAATGTCATTTTCATTTTCTTTGTTCCATGCTCGACAAAAATGAATACAAAATTAAAATAAAAAATCAATGTTAAAACCATGTAAGTTGCAGATTAATGTCAATGTAAAAGTAAATGTTGTTTGCTAGTTGCTTGCTTTGTCGAATAATAGGTCTGTCTATACATCGTCTCAACTTGCCGATTTATCTTACTTGTTTAAAATAAACTTCTTAACAAGCCTATGTGTTCCTTGATTTAAAAAAATTGTCGTCAGTATTTTGTAAGTATGTTCAAATGATGTCAAACGTCTAAAACGGGAACCAAATACTCTCGGTCTTCATCACAACCAGTGTGGGAAGTGTGGTCCTCCTCATGAAGGTGTTTTTGAGGAAGAGAGATGACAACATGATCTGGCCCAGTTGTGTTCAACTGTTGTTGATCATCAGTGCACTGACTTCTGAGGTGAGGCTCAGCTTCAGACCTGGGAGACGAGGAACCAAGTAATGAATAGCTGACGGGATCGTGAGTTTGAGCGGAACATTGGACATCACTAGGAAAGGCAACTTCTTCATACTCAGCAAGCAGCTGCTCAGTGCTTCTTCGGGTGAAGTTGTTTTGTGGCACTCGGAGACAACATGGCGACAGACAACAACAACCATCGTCAAAAAGGAATGGCGCAGGGTTGCACATGATTCTTTCTACCTTGTTACCCAAGATTTGGAATTGTTTGGCGTTGGAAAAAAAGCAAAAGGAAGACCCTACTCCATCGAACAAATTAACGGAATTGAACCAATGAAAGCGACAATTCCTGGAATGAAAAGCATCACGAAGCTCAGCTAGCAACGTCATAAAACATTCTTCTATGTTATCCTCAACCCAGAAACCCACTGGAACCTTTTCCAGAGTATTTAGGAATACGGTTTTCAAGTGGTAAGATGTGATTTCTGACCAAACTGGTTGAAGATGATCTTTCAAGATTATTTTCATAGCCATGAAGCATTTCCTTGCTGTGTCTGGGACAAGTTTTGAGAGTTCAACTTCTGCTAAAGAGAATGAGAATCGCCAACTTGTTTTATTCTTATCACTCGGTGCTGGTTTGGCCACCAGATGACAGCCAAGTGACATTATTCTGTGTACGTCAGCGATGCTGGGCCAAAATCTCGCTCGGTTGCCCCAGTCACTCAAAGCTGGCCACTCGGGGCACTGGACAGAAACTGTAATGTCAGCTTCGAAAACAGGTAGCATGCGAAATTTCATCGCTGGGCCTTTCGAATGAAGTGTTACTGGAGTGCACATGTTCAATCCACAACACCCTCTAATATTGGGTAGATTGAGAGCACGCGTATTAAGAATGGCCTTTCTTGCTCTGCGCATGACAAATTCAGAACTTAGAACACGCTCTTGGAAGCCAGGAGTGAGCTGAGTGAGTTTAGCATAGCCAGTGAAACCGTTATTCTCGGGAATAAGATACTCGACGAAGATATCTTCTTGACCTGCAAATGAAGCTTTATGTTCTCCACAGAAAAACATGACGTCTAGATCTGATGTTAAAGGGCCAATGTCATAGGATGGGCACAATCCACGAACACAGCGAGCATCCTTTACCATCATTAGCGGGAAGCTGAATCTCTCTTCTACGCTCCCTACGAAAATATACTCGAATGGTGTTGTTGTTGCCACATACTTCTCTAGAGAACTTTTGAAATCTTCCAGATAGGGTAGAGCGTTTCTTTTTTGGAACTCTTCAACTTTACTACTGGAGGGTACATCACTGTCCACTGACATTAGGATGTTTTTAAGAGTCTCCGAACTTCTGCCGGTGAAAACTAACTTTCTGTGACCACAAGTGACAGGGAAGCAAAGTCTCTGCAAGGAAAAACATACATCGACCCTTGTGTTTCAAAGTCACTATAGTAACTGTAACTTGTTTGTAAATATGGGGCTGAAACGAGAGCCGAAGATGGTTTCCCGTAGGGGTGAACATGGGTGTATCCTTCCCCGAAAGATGGTAATCTCTAAGTTCCTGGTAAATATGATTTCCATCACACTGAAGCTAAGTCAGCTTCTTTTAATGACTTAAATTGCACTTCAAATGTTACTTTTCTGTATATTGCCAGGCAACGCTGAAGCGACTGTCGATTATTAGTATTCTTGCAAAAATTAAAGTTGTTCGTTCAGTTCAAAACATCTCTCTTCTTTTGACTGAAACTCTAGCAGCACCTGGATCCCCCATGGCTCCTAAGATAACCATTTAACTCCCGTGAGTAACCAAGACAGAATTTCTCCTTACAATATCGATACAATATCAACCAGATAGGTGATGAGAGTAAAGAAAAATATCAATTTGGGGATAATTAATTGATCCAATACTATATTCTCTAAACTAACATTATAAGAATTGTATGGTTGACAGTAAGGAGAATTACAAATTTGAACTGGGAGTTAAAGGGTGAATTTGTATTCATGGCCCCCTCTGTTGCCGTAATTCCTATAAGAACGTAACCCGAACTCTAAAAACTATGCGCATCGTTCTTCACTTTGTTCTGACAAAGAAGAGATGCTCAGAAAAAAAATCAGTTTTTTTAAATAAAAAAAAGCGAAAACAATTAATTCATTCCTATGGAACTTATTATGTTTAACAGTTTTCCAAAACCCGAACACCTTCCTCTAGTGTACTTACCAAACACCGTGCCACCAGGTACCTAGCAATACGCAGAAATACCATACCAATTAAAGTAGTCACAACCAATATTATGATTACAGTGGCGCTAAGGTGAATGTTTACTCCATCCACGATGAGGCTATACAATCGACATAAAAGGATTAAAACTGGACATAGGGCCGTATAACGAACAAACCGTTTGATGGTCTTCATACAGCAAAAGGGTCTCATGAAAGAAAAAAAACAGAACTAGGTCAGACTACAGCAAAATGTACCCAGACAGCGTCTTCGATAAGCTTTAAAATAGAAAGAAAAGATCTCACATAAATAGTCTTCTCTATCCATCTCAGAATAAACCTTAGCTTGATCAACTAATACCGAATTATTTGCCTAAGTAAAATCATATTAATGTAAGGTGAGTGTAGCAAACGCGACACCGAAATAAGGTCAAATTTGTTTCTCGCTAACAGCAATACTACCTCAAAAACACAAGCCGCAACACTAGAAAAGAGGATTGAAAAATGAGTGCATGTACGCAACGATTATAATTCGTTGAGTCAAGTAATATTTACATTACACGATTTCTAGTTATTTTTAAAAAAAATTTAGTTTTCACACAAGATAATGTTAAACTAAGGAATATTTAACTCCCGATCGAAAGTGAAAGTGGTATCACATGATAAACCAATGACAGAAGCAAGCGGAAATGATTTTGTTTTCGGATTCATCGCAAAATACATACTGTGTCGTTTGTTTTTTTGGAACACCAACTACACCAAGACACAGGGAATGTTTTAAACTGTTACGTTTGCTTTACACATTTGACCCTCTTAGCGACTCATTTCTTTAAACAATTGCTCATCTGTTACATATAGTGGATTACGTTACTCATTATTCTGGGAAAAAATTCCCCTTAAAAACTACATTGAATACTCTAAATAAATATCAAATTACAGATCACGAGTGTATTATCTTGCTAAATGAATAGAGATCGATTGAAAGGAATAGCTCTAAAATAAAACAGATGAACAACATCCTATTTCAACATTTTATTGCCTCATTCAAAGCCTTTCGAGGGCTCCATTAAATGTGATCAACACGAATCGTGGTGGTTCCCTCTCAATAATCTTGATAGTGGCATCATATTTGAAAATGATGGCAAAGATTTGAAAACAAGACTAAGCTTTGTCAGTAATAATTTCAATTTATGTTCGTATGAAAAGTGATCAGTCGACACTATAACTGTTTCTCATTTCGGGCTAGGGTTCAGACTTGAAATCATTTAAAGTTAATTTGCTAGCTCAATCACTTCATCTCCAAACATTACCTTCTTACCTTTATACTTTCACATCAACTGATACAAGTCCAGGAGTTCACCGGTGCCTGATTACGAGATGTTATCGAGAACACAAACCACAGTACTAGAAGAGAGGATCGAATAATGTTTACATGTACGCAACGATTATAATTCGGTTAGTCAAGTAATATTTACAGGACAAACTCTTACGTATGCTTTACACATTTGACTCTCTTAGCGAGTTAATTCAGGTCGAAGTTGTTACCTTGATCTAAAATTAAATTCTCGAAATCAATCTACAAGAAAATGTGTAGCAGATAGAGCGGAAAATTAACCCTTTTACCTCTTGAAGTGACTAACATCTAATTTCTTCTTGCAATATCTCCCCTGAATCATACATGGTGGTCACAAGAATAAAGGAAATGATCATCAACTAAAGAAACTCTCAATTGTTAGACAAATTCTCATTGTAAGCATCTTAAGAAATGTATGATACAAAGGATAGAGAACATGCATACTGGTATTAGGATGTAAAGGGTTAACAATCAGATCTTCAGAGTTAAAGGATTGACATTGTAGTACTTACTTAAAAGGGACCTTAAGCAAACCACGCGAGGGCGACGACGACGAGGAGGTTACAAAACAAAAGATCTGGTGAGCAGAACAATAGCTCAGCACGAGCGTTTACAACTTCGTACGTCTGCAAAACAACAACGTGAAATCACCAAAATTCGCATAGTCTGAGGCTATTTTTAAGTGAACCCTGCTCACCTACGTTATGCTGAAGTAAGGGTGTAGCGATATCATAGACGGTGAACACGTCCAGTCATATTTTCATTCTCCCTTCTTCCTCTTCCCCAGTAACAATCGACACTACTCGTCATATGACCGGAAAAAGTCCTAGACCGTTACAACATAAACATCACAGCTTCGCCAAACATTAATTATGCCTCGCCTATCAGGGACCTTTACTAAACGTAATATTAGAGATGTTTGTAGATGGAAATAAGAGAGAGGGTCTGAGGCTCGATTCCTCATTGGGACTCTAGTTATTTTCAAAAAAATGTAGTTTTCACACAAGATAATGTTAAACTAAGGAGTATTTTTTCGATTTGGTATCATGATAAACCAATGACTCGAAATGATTTTGACAAGACGAAAAACATCTTTCCTTATTATAGATGTTTTTACAAAAGACCAGAGTGCGTGACACAGTTCCTAATATGGAAACAGATAACAGTTCCGTGATAAGTGGAGAAAAATACGATAATTTATGTTCTCAGGATCTGCCCAGGTGGTGAAAGAGGCTACGCCACGAATCTTGCATTCGCACTGAACTGATCGAGATACAAGTGACTCTAATCCCAGTCAATTACTGCTGTGTTTCAATAACTCAGCTATTTCCGTCGAGTTCCATAAAATCCTTTCAATCCTGAAATATTGCAGGATAACTGAATTCTTCTAACTGACTTGTAATGCTAGTAAGTAACAAAAAAAATTATATTATTATATTTTCATTAGTGCTTGGCATGAGCACGCACGCAAGGTGACGAACAATGGAAGGCGCGGGGTATGTAGCAGTCTAGTCCCGTACCCAGACCTTCCACGGCAAGCCTATATTCCAGTTAAACGGTAGGATCTGGGTACGAGATTAGAACCACCCTTGTTTCAGTGAATTGATAATTGAAAATTAATGGAGATCAAATCAAAAATATTTTTGTATTTCCATGGTTTCCAGCTTACAAGGTGCCAACAACGATCAAATTGACAGTGTTGCGTTGCTCATTCAGTGAGCCACAGTTTCCTCGTTTACCAACTTGACCTCGTCAAATATGTCTGAAATGTCTTTAACCCAGTCCGAGGCTGGTTGAACAAATGAATTTTCATTCTCTAAAAATAGCACTCTTTAACCGGACTGTTTTATTAATTGCAATTAGAAAGAGTATCATTCTTCACCTGGACGACCAGAGGTAAGGTCAAAGAACGTATCAATTTAAACAAACTAAAAAAAGATATGGAAGTTTTTTTCTTTCGTTCTAATTTTTGATTGCTACTGATTACTCTGACCTGGCATGGCGCCCAAGATGCATCGTCGAAACCAAAAGTGCAAAAAACAGTATCAGTCTTTAAAAAAAAAACAGAAAGTTAAAAGTCAGTTAGTCAAGAAGGTGCCAGAGAAGCCTTTGAAAGATATCCATTGTCCTAGATCATAACTATGTAATACAAGGCAGTTACAAGGCGCATAAAAATAAAAATAGCACACCATGAACTTTGAATTTAATTGGAAAAAAGGGGTTTGAATCAGGAAGTTTTGTCATTTTTTCCGCTCCAAGCACGCCACAATCCCGTGTTCATGAAGTTCAAGGAAAAATTTATAACAGAGGAGTATCGTCATTGTACTGAGTTTCGCGGAACAAAGACACAATGAAAGAGGAACACAATAATGTTTACACAGTTGGTATCATGATCAGCACATGAAAAACACGAGGGGCGTGAGCCTGTGAACTTCACAGCCGCTAATTTTGAACCGGGTAGATCTCACGACGGACAGTGTGTGCAGGTTTACGGGACTTCATGTGGGGAGAGGCGCAGTAAGGGAATATTTATAAAATACATCAGTGATGTTGTCATAGAAATGCCAAGTTCGAATACTAATTAGCATAAGCATAATTCATTGGTATATCATTTATTTTTTCAATTTTTAGGAATCGCTTGAATTCTCTAAACAGCATCTGATACTCTCAAGAGGTTTGAAAATGGAACGTTGTGTGAAATTGTTCTGCTGGCAGGCATACAGCCAGAAGACAGGTTTCTATGCTACAAATAAATTCTTATTTGCCTTTTTCCTCAGTTTTTACTTCTTGAATAAAGCTTCTTTTTTAACAATGTTATTGAAATTAGCTGTATCAATAAGGGGAGAACAAAAAGCTTCCAAGCTTTCGTCTTCTGGAACGGAAAAAAAGGAATTCCTGAAATCTTGTTGTTGCATGTATGTCGTCCAATTCCTGTTTGGTTTTAATATTTCGCACCCCGATTTACTTCTAACTTAGAATTACTGTTGTTGATTTCTACAATCTCAGAAAAAGTAATTAAAAAAGAAAAAGTTTCGGCTCAGTTCCATGCTTCTTTACACGTTCAGTGAGTATAAAAAGCGAAAACCAAAGAGATTCCTTAGAAACCTCACTGTGGTTTTACGCCAAGAGCATAATTACAGCCTGCCTACGTGTTTCAATCGATGCTTCTTTATTTGGGGTCGAAATTTGCGAAATCATAGTACTGGTCAAATTTCATATTACGACATCGTTCTATTGGCAATAACTTTCTGTCCAGGTAACCACTATCAAAACTGTTCAAGCAGGGTTACGCGATAGAATATCACATCTGAAAATTCAATGATGCTAATATTATGATATTACAATAAAACAGTCACAACAAAAGTAGACGCTGCACATTATGATTTCGCCGAGGAGTCTTTATGGGATCGTTTGATCCTGGATTGTTTGTATGTTATGTTTCCGTCTTTTTAAAATAAAATTTTCGAGGAAACCGTCGCGCTGGCAACGAGCCTGTGATTGGTCAGTTCGTTCTAACCCTCTGTTATGCTCTTGCGCAATTATTAGAGCGTGTCGTAATTTTACGGGTTGCCATTAGACTATCACTTTGAGACATCAACGATCACGATAATGAGTAATCCTGTGTTCTCTTCGCTTTTTCGCCGCTGTAAATCTCTTTTGGACCCCCAAGTAAGGATCCCGCGAAGAAAATAAGAAATAAATATTTTCGTACATGTTTCTTGAAATATACTAAATAGAGTGTAAAATCAATTTCCGTTAACAGGCCTTGTCTGATGTTCGACGCTTGTCGCTAGGATCGTTCAGATTCACAGATGTAAGCAAAGTCTTTTTTATTTTATTTTATCTACAAGTCAATAAATTATCTTCTGAATCTTACGCTGTTTTTTAATTTTTTTTTCCAGGCGGTCAATCCTGAGAACCAGGTATGTGGGTTTCAAACGTCTTCCTAGTGAAATGTAACGCTGTGTTCGTTTTAGTTATGAGCTTCCTTGAATGAATATAGATTGTTAAGAAAGTTTGCCTGTTTATTTTGCAAACTTTTTTTGCCGGTTTGTATATCTTTCATAGAAAAGGAAGATGAACAAAAACGCGTTTTCTGCATAGCTGACCTCAATCCGAAACGATATTGAAGCAATATACGTAATTTAAAACGCCCTTGTGGCCGACATGAATGAAGCTGAAATGTTCTCGTCAGACAATTTTAATTTTTTTGTCTTTATGTTCATGTGTTAGTCTTTATCTCTCAGTTATATATATATAGAACTAAAAACCGTAAGAATTTCTATAAACGGAGGCATTTAAATATCTCCTGATTTCCCTCTAGCAGTTCTTGTAAAATTGTGCGATCAAGCAACATGCTCCTGTCGCGTTACGCGAATACAATTGGGAGTCACGGCATATTTATATCTACACAAGCGTAAAGTTCCGTTGCATTTTTTCAATAACCTCTTGAATTCGGACCAAGAGACGCTCACATTATCAGCCATTAGTCAAAGGAAATTGGCTTTAACATTATTTGATTGCTTGTATATGTTTCTGTTGATTTTATTTGATTTCTTTTTTGGTTTATAGAGTTTTCAAATTCGTACTTAACATATATTAGTAATTAAACAAGTGTGATTAAGAACACTTTATCTGTACTGTACGCCCAGAGCCATATTGGTGTGTCTTGCGAAGCGCTAAACGCATGAATGAAGTATTGTAAAGCACGTTGTGTTTCTAAAACCTTTCTGATCGAAAATCCTTCAAAGGGAGACTGCTTTGAATTGAAGGGTAATTTTTATGCGAAATGTTCCAAATCAGTGTTATGAATCAAAGCGCTTTGCAGCAAGTAATGTTCTGATATGATTTGAAAGGTTTTGCGGTTGAATGAATTTCTTTCAAAAGTTTTATGTGGCTCAATAAACGTGGCCACTGATATTTATCTTGTTTCCATACTTTGAGGAATGTGGATTTTATATTGGACTGACAACAAATTCATATTGGCAGTGGTGATATTTAACATTATTCAACCATTAAAAAGTAGTCCATATGCAACATATTTTCCATATGGAAAACTGGCCAGCATGATGATTATATTCTCTGTCTGAAAGATAAGTGAAAAACTATTTTAACAAGCAAACAAATCTTTACTCTCTGCCAATAACTGTTGGGGCTCACTTAACAAATTTCTAGTGCACTACAGATGCATGCCATTGGATGTGAATTTATTTAAATGTGTTGGACTCCTGTAGCTTGAGGATGGTTGATGATAATAAGCTTGAAATTCAAATGCAAATTCTCAAATTGATTACCTCCCAGCACTTCTTTTAATTTCTTTTGTCCACGAGTCAAGAAAGGCTTTCTACAGAATGAATTGAAATATAGGAATTCAACAACTGTCCATTAGAACTGCATAAGTTTTAGAAGAGAGATGTTAGCCAAAGCTTTGTTAGATAGAGACATCATATTTAGGAGAAAAGTGTACATTTAACTAACAGTATAGCTGGAATATTGAAAGATAATGTTGTCAGACACACATAGCAGGAATTTTTAAGATTCTTAGTTATATTTGGTTAATAGTCCATTTTACAGTTGTGTGCTTGGTTGCCAAGCCTTTGAACAGGAGTGAGGCTAAGGGTGACTTTGTTATGTTACAAACCTTGCTGCTTTTGAAATGCAAATTAATTTGTTATCATGCTAACTAGATTCTGGTCTCTAACACAACAAGGTCACCTTCAGCCTCACTCCAAATCAAAGGCTTGGCAACTAAGTACACAACTGTAAAATGGCCTATTAGAGGTATTACAGATCTGAACTTGTTGCAGAGAGAGAAATCTTTCCATGTCCTGTCTAGCAGTTTAGTCATGAAATCTGTTCTTGTTTTGGTATTTAAATATCTTAAATAGCTAAAAAGATGTTTATAGTAGTGGCAAGGCTTTATTTACTTTTGATGGAAAATAACATTAATTTCTTCTGTAATGAGTGAGAAAAATCAATCACCTGTATTAAATGCTTGTAATATAATATTGATCATTATTTTTTAGTTTTCAATCAATTTTGAGAGAGGAGAGGGGGGTCAGTCAACCTCATTGGAGGGATGACATTTTTCATATTTTGTCTAATAGAGAACTTGCTTCAATATTCATTGGGGTAATTATTCAAGGGTTTGTGGTAAACAGGATTGTGATATGAGCTCTTTGTTTAGGTCTCTGAGCAAAAAGAACGAAATGAAGAAGTTGGTCAATACACAGAGTTAGTACGAGACTTTTTAAACCCCAAAGACTTCTACAATGCCTTGTGTAGCCATGGCATGGACTATTTTTGTGGTGTTCCAGACTCTTTACTGAAGGATTTTTGTGCATATGTAACATCAGTGACGCCTAAGTCACGACATGTTATAACAGCCAATGAAGGACAAGCTATTGCTCTTGCTGCTGGATATCATATGGCCACAGGGAGAGCTGGAGTTGTGTATCTCCAGGTAAGTGAAGTGATTTTGTTAGATTTCATTTATCCAAGTCTTGTGATCTCCTCATTTATTCCTCCTTCTAATTGATTTAAGTTTCCCTTAAGTTAATATTAGTGAAAAGGAATTTGATAGTAATTCAACATTATACCCTCTAAATTTTAAGTTGATCTATCTCGTTACCCACTCTTTGGATAATGTTATGATATTGTAAGGAGTAGTTTCTAGATAATGTATGTTCTAGGGTTAATAGTTACTCATTTTATTGTTTTAACCCTTTAACTCCCAAGATCTGATTGTTAATTCTCCCCTCTAGATGCTACATATTTCCTTGTAAATAAGTCATGAGAATTTGGTGTTAGATCAAAACCACTAACTTCTGCCCAACAAATTTCAGTATTCTCATTACATGTTGGCTGGTTAATCTGTGGATGTTACAGGGAGAAGTTAGATGTTAATCACTTGTGGGAGTTAAAGGGTTAACCTTTCAATTCCTAAGATCTGATTTTCAAGTATCCCCTCTAGCTGCTACACATTTCTTTATAAATAAGTTGTGAAAATTTGGTGTTAGATCAAGATAACAACTACCTGATAACTTGAAGTATTCTCATTTCTAGTCTGCTGTACAATGTATGGTTATTGTAAGGAGAAGTTACATTTAATTGCTTTTGGGAGTTTAATGGTTGAACATAAGGATAGACTCATAGACTCTTCTTTCCTTTCCTTTTTTGTCTCAAGCTGTGAGAATCATCTGTAATTTGATTAGAACTAGGCATCTGCTTTATGAAATAAAAGAAATGTTTCATTTTAAGAAGGATTACCAAGACTGATTAGCTAGCAAAAATAAAAAATATTAATGGAGAAGGTTACTTTTATCAGTACCTAGATTTGCTTACAGTTTCTCCAAACAGCAAACTTGTCTGATTTCAACTTTTTCTCTATTTTCTTTGTATTAACTAGTTTATCAAGTTACATGTTTTGGTGTGTGAAAAGGTCTTTGGAGAGAGTTGCACTTTGTGTAATGTTTTTCAAATTATTTCTTACTTAAATGCATTCAAACTAATTTGAGTTTTTTGTTTTTTTCATTTTTCTTGCATCCACCAGAACTCTGGATTGGGTAATATTGTTAATCCTCTGATGTCATTGGCTGTGCCAAGTGTGTACAGCATACCCATGTTACTCTTAGTTGGATGGAGAGGAGAGCCTGGAAAGAGAGATGAACCACAGCACATGATACAGGGGCAGGCCACACCTGGAATACTTGGTAAATAAGACACCTTTTTTTGTTATTTACAATTTAATTTTTTTTTGTGATAATTTTATTGTGGCTACATGTTACAAAAGTGATAGCTTTTGTGATAGCAAAGTTCTCCTAGTTGCCTAAAGGCTGAGCTTGTAATTTGTCACATTTACATGGCAAAGCCATTAAATTTTCCTGGGATTATCTCTTTTTCCCATTTCATCTGCAGCATCATGTGGAATTCCTTTTCAAGTATTGCCCGATTACCAAGAAGGAGCTGAACAGGTAACGAAGGCAAAATTTTTTTGACTGAGTTATATGCAAACATCGTAATTCTGGGTGGTGGGCTAGAGGTTAATTTACAGAATGACTAGTAAATTCCAATTACTCACTACACATTGGTTAAGATACTTGTTTCCTGGTTATGCCTCATTCTAAAACAATTTTCTTGTGGTATGTCAGTTGTATTGTATCTTAAATTGTGATCGTTCATATGAAATATTCTGAAAATGAATATTGCTGGTGACAGAGTCTAAACACTCGACAACCTGTCATATTCAAGTAATGACTTTTGGTCAGGTTGTCTTGCCAACATTATTTTCTATTCGTGAATGTGAAAGTGATCTTCACAGTAATGAACACTAAGTGACCATTAGAGAAAATAAGGATCAATATCAGTATCTGGGCAGCTGCTCACCTACCCCTCCCCTAACCCAACAACAGTCAATTGGTAACAAATTGTTGGGTTAGGAGAGGGGTAGGTGGGCAGTTGCCCAGATACTGATATTGATCTGAAAATGAGGCCTGAAAAAAATTCAGGTCTGTACAGGATTTGAACCCATGACCTTTGCAATACTGGTGCAGTGCTCTACCAACAGAGCTAACAAGCTAACTGAGAGTTGGTCATTCTGTTAGTTCCAAAGAAACCTGTGAAGTGATGAATAAATGATTGTGAATATATGAAAATCATATCTGTGAACTGCAGGTAAGACTTGAATATGAAAGCAATCTTTGCCATAATGAACACTACCTAAGCAGTAGTAATAATAGGGCCTGAAAACAAATTCAGGCCTATGCAGGCCTGCATGGGTTCAAATCCCGAACTACTGCTCAGGGAGTGTTGATTACTATGAAGATTGCTTTCATATTCAAGTCTTTATCCACAGTTCATGGATATGATTTTCATATATTCACCATCATTATTTTCTGTGACTAACAATCCTTTTAGGACCCCCCTTAATTGGAAGATCAGGCCATGTTAACTAGTCATAAAGTTGTTGTAAAAATCTTTAATGGCAACTAATCATTTCATGGTCTTTTGTTGAATGTGCAGGCCTTGTATGTGGCTAGAAAACATATGGAAACATCAAAAGGACCATACTGCCTGCTGGTGAGAAGACAGAACTTCTTGCCATTCAAACTGGAAAAAGAACCTGAAATGTGAGCAAAATGAAGAAAAAATTTTTATTTACTGTACAAGTATCAATCACTGCATGATACAATCGCCCAGGAGTTAAGCTCAGGTCTTCAAAGGATGAGTGAACATTAAATAACGGCAAACTTTACTGTTCTCTCTATAATTCTACAGTACTGATGTGGATACTATTTTTGTAACAATCAAGGAGTTTCTAAGTTAGAAATCATTTCCTTTTTTATCATGTCCCTTTTGTTTTATTCAGGGGTGATACTGAAAGAAAAAATGATAGATTTAAGTTACTCACAGGGACTTAAGGGTTTAACTCTGAAATCTTCCTCCTTACAGCTTTCCATTGAATAGAGAGGGAGCCTTAAAATCTGTTGTTGATTCTCTTAAAGACCGTGATGTGGTTGTAGGCACAACTGGAATGTTGTCACGTGAACTATTTGAATACCGTGTGGCCAAAGGCCATGGTCATGAAAAGGATTTCTTGACAGTTGGTTCCATGGGTCATGCCTCAGCCATTGCTCTTGGTATTGCTCAATTTAGACCAAAACGACAGGTATAGTAAATTGACTGTTTATTAGGTTACTTAGGACAATTTCATCACCACTAAAATTTTCATACTAAATGTTATGAATTTAGAAATACATATATTTTTTCTTTGTCCCACACTCCTGAAAAGATGAAAAGCATCTTTCTCTAGTTCTTTACCGATCCTAAAACTTGCCATCTTTCTTAATGAATTGATATTGAAGGAGAGGCAGTGTTTTCCAAATATAAGTTACATGAGTTTGTGTAAGATTTTTCCTTCTGGAGACTGATTTCTCTACACAGCCCTAATGAGTAATTACCCTAATGAGGCTCTGATACAAAAGGTTATACAGATTTTGTAACAATGTGAATCTTGTTATGTAACTGCTATTTAATTCTAAGCAGTGCAGTCACAAAACTAATTTTTAGTTACAAGCACAAGCTATATTATGGATGGTTGTAAAAGTATATTTAAGGTAACTAGCACCTACGTTATGGTAACTTTTCAACCCTAAGCATTAAATTCACTAATGATTGGAAATCTGTATATCATTACCAAAGCAACATTTGAAGTTTTCATTTAGAAGAGGATTTTAATGATAACATAACCCTTTTGAGCCTCCTTCATTGTTACCTTTGTTGTAGATTTTTTGTTTGGATGGTGACGGAGCTGTTCTTATGCACATGGGTGCTATGGCTACCATTGGACAATCTGAAGTAGCCAACTTTAAACACATCCTGATCAACAATGGCTGCCATGACTCTGTTGGAGGCCAGCCAACCAGTGGCTTAAGTGACTCCTTTGATTTCCTAAAGATTGCCCAGGCCTGTGGGTATAAAACGGTATGTAGATTCCTCCATCCTGTCTTTCATTTTGTAATAATCATTGTGTCAATTCAAAAGGGTCACTAGTTTTTCATAAAGGAGGGAGTCTCAATTTCAGTATTGCAAATTTTCATTTGGGTTTAGTGTTTAACTCCCACCTCAGATGGGATCATGGGATATCAATCAATCATATTGACAGGGTTTTTATTAGGCATTGGAGATCAGTGAGTTTGCTGGTTCCTATGCCTCCTTCAAAATTCTAAGCAAGGTCTTATTCAGAAGTGGAGAATATCCTGCTGTTGGTCTACACAGTTCTCCTTTTTCTACATATCTTCATGAAAAGCCTCTGTTAATTTTCCTTTTCATTTTAGGTAATGAGAGCAACTCAACCAGAAGAAGTAGCTGAAGCTGTCACACGCATGAGATCTCTTGAAGGCCCAGTGCTCCTAGAAATAAGAACAAACAAAGGAGGACGAAAGGATCTGGGGCGACCAACAAGAACACCAATTCAGAACAAGAAAGACTTCATGCATTTCTTGGCTATCGATCATTAATTTACCCACAATTTCAACAATTTTATTTAAAGGGAAGCTGTCCTAGGAGAAGGGTTAAATAACTAACATTGCTCACTTTTCTGTCCGAGTTCTGAAAGGCAGACAAAGCTTGAGGCCTTGTGTTTTTTATTGCTCTGTTGTCTCACTTGTGTCAAGTTTCAAAAAAACCAGAAGCCATGATGGCTGAAGGTTGACTGAAGTGAGCTTAGATGCTCAATCTAATCTTTGTGGGAATGGTGATTGTGATAATTACTCTTATTTTCACACAAGTAAGTCATTGGTGGGTTTTCAGTGAACAAACTAAAAGAGTGTGGTGGTGAATGTGTCTTATTTTCTGGGAAGAGGGTCTCTAACCATTTGACATCAGTGAGCAGCTCACTGGAATTATGTGGTTCTCGAAGGAACCATACCTCCATATTTTCCAGAAAGGAAACCCAAGGGGGGGGGAGGTGAGGTTAAAAAACTGGGGAAGAGGAAAATTTGAAATTCTATAGGCAGGGGAATCAGTAAAACATACAATGGGGGAAGGTCATGGCTTTAAGGAAAAATTTAGTTGTTTACCAAGGAATAGGCAGGGTTATCAGTCTTAAAATAGAATCAATTTTTATTTTTTTCTGTCATTCTCTGAAAGAAATATCTACATGTGCTTCATGTAAAATAGGATTTCATTTATTTTGGAACAAAAACAACTGAAAGAATCATGATAGAAGAAGATCTAGTAACCTGCTCACTTAAAACTAGCTGTCCAGTCAGGGAATCAGTCAGGGAACCCCTGATGTTTATATAAACAAATTCTTGCAACCCATTTTACAGTTAGGTTACAATTTGTATTTTGTCCAGACCTTAAAAAATTGTAACTGGTGGTTCATTCTAGTTTAAGTATGAAGAAAGTAGGCTTATTTGTATTGAATGCAGATAGCAACAGTACAACAGGACAGGGAATATGTATTTCCAAAATTGCTAGTCTTTTTTTTTTGTTATGAGACACCAAACTTGAAGAGTAAGGACTAAAGATTTGGGAAATTTAACTGATATACAATCAAAGTATTTTATATGAATCAAGTGAATTTATGTTCAATTAATTGATGTGAATTTGTTGTTCAACCTCAAATTCTGTCTAATGGTAGGAAATAGAGACACTTGTGTCCCTAGTATGATAACACAAGAATAGAGAATTACATGATTTAAGTTTTTGTGTGATACTTCTCTAGAGTTATATGATAGTATTTAAAAAGGACACTTTATTCTCTACAGCTGTATTCAATAGTTATTTTTTATGTTTGAGGAAATGATTTAAAAATTAAAACACTAGTCTGAAAATTTGTTCCAATCATAAGCATGGCCCTCATAGATGTGAGCAACGGACAAACGTGTTACAAGAGATCAGTGGTGTAGTTGTCTTTTAAGAAGCCCGAAGAGATTCTAAAGCCCTTTAGGCTTAACACCTTATTTTCAGAAGAGAAAGCTGGATACAGACTGCGTACTCATTGCAATAGAAATTTTCCAAAAGAAATTGGTGCAGAACTTCATTTATTCAGCAGTGCAAGTTTTGCCTTGTGAATATTCCAACTTATGAACCATGTCAAACTGGTTTTTATAGTTAACTTAGCACGATGTATTTTACATCTAAGCTCTCTTGTTTTCCTAGTTTTGTAATGTGGACTCCAACTGAGTAACTTCGGGTGAAGAACCGAACTGGACTAAAACCACACTTTCTGATCGCACTGCCGCTTTACTATTGTGCCATTTCACCATGGCAATTCATTTTGCCAACAGAACGCCTGGAACAAGCACTCCCCACAAGTACTCGCGCGTTATAACTTTGTGCGCAAAAATTGTTCAAATCCGGGTTCACTCGAAATGGGTGAAAAAATGAATCCTTTGTGAGGAAAGGTTTAACTGGTATGGCTGTGCTTCTGCCAGGATCAGAAACTATAAATGTGGACATTGATGGCCCAGCTCTCTCCATTTTGTTGTGGCATCCTGGATGCCTCTTTGCTGTCCATTGCCTGATATCATTCACAATAGCCTTGCTCGTTCTTGTCTTTTCCTCCCATCCTTTCTCCCTTCAAAGAATTTTTTGCACAAGTTCTGTGCCCTGACAATGTGTCCAAAGTATGTCAACTTTCTTTTTTGAATAATTTTCATCAGGGCCCAATCTGTACCCATCTCCTCTAGAGTAGGCCAATCAGTTCAGTGCTCCGTCCACCTGATCCTTGGTATTCTTATGCACAACATTGATTCAAACGAACTGCAGTGGATCTTGAATCCCGTGTGAATTCTCTGCCCACCATTTCTCCAATTGAGAGTGATACAAATCATATGCTTAGTAATGGTCAGTGTGACTAGGTTTTGTTTAGGATTGTTAATCATTCAATCTTGTCGCCTAGTGCAAATCAGCTAGTAGTGCAATCCTCAGTTGACAATGACTGCATCATTATACAGAAAATTAAATGCCACAAACCAAAGTGTATTATCTAAAAGATAACCTACTAACTTTGCAGTTCCTTATTATGCTTGTAACATTGGCTATCTTAAAAAGCAGTTCAACTAAATTCTGCTTCATGGAGGTGGCCTTACACAGACAACAAACATCACTGAATAATTTTTTGGTAAAAAACCTGGCGTAAACAGCAAATAGGATTTCAAAGGTTTTTGCAATATATACAGTCAAACTATGCCATAAACTTAAAGCTTAAATCAGGTTTAAGCTCTTATAGCTATCTGCTCAGTCTTTCTACCAGTAATAATATAAGTCTGTGAATCTTTTTCTGTCCTACAGGTGGCCGTATGAATCTCAGCATGAATAATCACTTACAATTAAAAAAAGATTCACAGTAACATTTAACACAGTCCTTGAGTTATTATGTGACCAATTGTCTGCTGCAGTGGAGAATAATCTTTTGCATTTCCAGCAGACAGTGTACGCAAACTAAAAACTTTCCATACTCCGTCAATCTTGGACAAACTGCACATTATGATGGCTTGGGAGTAGGCAGCATGTCCCATCTGATCACTGCAGAGCTGTTTGTTAGGCTCCTTGGCATCGAAAAAACGCAGACTGGGATTTTTATATTTTGAAATGTTTGGGGAATTCCAAGCACTCAAGGTGAAAAATAACTTGTTGATGTTGCTAGGCAAAGACTTCAGCTGTACACGTATGGTATGATGACCGATGCGCTTCTTATGATCCATTACATCACCAGAATGTGAAACACCAATAAAACCATGACTATCGAAATCAACTATGCCTTGAAGAGCTGATCCACTGTAGATAAGAACTGATGCATCTAGATAGTCACACCCTCTAGAGGGATACCCCCAAAACAGGTCAAAAATTGCATGGTCAAGGGCCTGGTTAATCTCGTACAACACAACAATGAGGTGTAGGGTGCTGAATGGCTGTATGGTGTAATCTTGTAAGGTGGCCAGTTTTGTACCTAAGTCAGTCTGAAACACAAGATAATAAATACCTTGATATTCTCACTTTTGCACAACTTTCTTCAATATTTGTGAGAGAGTGAAAGACCATGATCAAATTACAATAAATACATCCTCCCTTTACCTTAAGCTCTTTTTCTTTATACAACAGTCGTTGTTTTTGTGGAGCTGGTCCAAGCCGGGTGTGTACAAAGTTCTTCAGTTCTTGGATTGTCATACCTGGTCTATAGGCCACTACTGTACTGTCTCCACCCAACATGACAACAGATATTGTCTCATTACCAACCAGTGAAGTGGACACCTCATTTTCAGTTGTGGCGGCGTCAGCAGTGTATTTTGGGAACAAGTTCTCCAGGGTTTCCAAGTACTCAAGGTACCGTGGATTACTGGTTTTTACTGCTTGAAGACACTGAGAACACCTCTGATGTTTTTCAACATACTTTGTGACACACTGTTTAGGTACAAGAAAATCAGATGTTAGATTTTGCAGTCAGGTTGGCTGAATCATACTAGAACCAGTAAAAAAATACAAAAAGACAAAATCAAACAATACACTGTTGCTAGAGTTTCCTGGATTTTCAATGTTAATGGTAGTCCCAGGCCTCCTTTCAATTTCTTTACCATTATTTTCATAATGTTGTTGGAGAACTACAGCCGTATACTATTGAAAGAGATCGTAAGATATTGTAAAGGAGGGGTAAGTGCACAGTTGCTCAAATACTGACATTATCCCAAGAATTCTTGAGAGTGTGGAAATTGTATACACACTGGGGGCAAAATCCTTTAACTTACCCTAAGACAATGCAAAGGCGCATGATCACACATATCTGTAACAGTATCTGAGGGAAATTCTCTTCGCAGCTTTCTGATTTTGCACAGATCACAAAGCATGCTTACCCAGATCTGGAACTAAGGCACACCGTAAAAACATTTATTAGAAGATGAGTAAAGACTAAGCAGTAGTGAGTTGGAGAGAAGTCCGAGTTCTAGATTACTCTGGCCGCGCAAGTTTAATGCGTGTATGGGTGCGTGCGTGCGTGCGTGCGTGCGCGTGCGCGCGCGTGCGCGTGTTTAAATGGCGCGCGAACGTTTAACATGACTATGCTGTTGCTTTATTATTGCGATCACTCGCTTAATATATGATAAATTGCCCCACAGGTAACCAAGTCGTTCGTTCAGCTCACCTTCAACATGCAAAATAGAGTTTTGGCTAATGTCAATAATTACCAGATCTGACTGCTTCCGTTGACTAACCGAGTACTATTGCATATCATCTGAACGAGGCGTCAGGGAACTAAATGTGTCTAGCTGTAGATCAGAAGTCTTCATTTACTTCAAGAAGTGCAGACTAACCCGAAGATGAAGAATTAAGTTTGAAGCTTAAGGAAATTCTGGCTTTACCGCTCCAATGGTTTATTCTGTTCTCTCTCTCTGCCTCGTGTTCAAGGATTGATATAATTGTATCCGAAAACGCTCACATTCAAGGTCCCATCTATTGTTCTGTGGCTTTTCAAAGGAAGAATTGCCAGAACTTAAACGCCTTCACAACTGAAGAGATTAGACTGTTTTTTCAAACTACAATTGGAATAATACGTTGGAAACAATTGCTTTTCAAAGGTTGTTTGTTAGTGTCTTCTTTCCACGAATTCAGCGCTGTCTGTCAACTTTACCATAAAAGGTATTAACCGCGGGTGTTTCTCGGAAATGGTTACATCTAATTAGCCGGCATTTACTATGATTCCCTACCAGCACATGCATTAGCGGTGTCGTGCGATGTGGAGCTTCATTTATGGTAGCGGGTTCAAGAAAATCGATCAGGATGAACCGCTCAACACCTGCAATGAGTTAATTAAAACTCAAGACGGCTAAGGAAAGGTGAGTTTCTGCTATTTAAATAGTCCTGGAATAGCTCCGCGCTCTTTGATCGTTCTTGATTGTGAACTTCCATGGGTAGGGTAAATTGAGTAGTTTCGCACTGTGCTATAGAGTGGAAATTTACCAGCCTCTTACAATTTTACCAGTGAAGATCAGCCAGAGTTTATTGATTGTGAACCCTTTCACTTCCAAGATCTCTTTAGTTATTCTGATAACTGTCTGCTAAACAATTTTCATGATGTTTTAGATGGGAGAATTGGTATTGAATTAGCTGATAGTTCCCCTAATTGATATATTTCTTTTTTTGCTCATCCCTTTTTTGCTCAATATTGTATTGATATTGTAAGGAGAAACTCTGTGTTGGTCAGAGAGCTTAAAGAGAGCTGGAATAAGCATTGATGACAACGTTTTTTCCTCTCCAATTTTCTTGAAGACCAAGAATGAAAACCTGTTTAACCAGTGTTCTCAGTACTCTAATTAGTCTGTTATAACAACTTTACTGAATTTTCTCAGAAATAAGGTGGGGTCAACATCACAATATCAACTGGTTTAAACTGGTTTAAACTGGTTTGGCTTTCTCAGAATTGCAGGAAGCCTTTATTTCTTTGAATTATTTCAAAATCAACAATCATCACTTGCAGCATTTTATGAATAGATTATGCTTGAAATTAAATGCATAGGTATGTTAATGACCATTTTGTTTGCAGTCATCTTTACCTGTATTTTGACTCAATGAACTTATTTGCATCTTTCCCTTTCTATTAATTCTACAATTGACCTGCTAAGTAGCATTTTTTTATTGTATTTATTTTTTGCATCTGACTTACTGATGACTTTCAAAGATGCTATTACCTGTTATCGCAGTTAATACATCTGTCATTGTTTTATTTCATTACCTGCATGGTTTTATCTTTTCTATAGATTCCATCTTATCTTTTGCACAACTTCACTTTTATGGAAAATGAATGTAGTACCATGAATTTATTGAGCTCTACAGTGATCACAAACATCTATTCCTCATCATTGCTTTGATTTTATAAATATATTGATGTTTGAATGAGAACTTGCTGCCCCTTAATTATGCAACAAGTCCCTTGTGACAAGTTGCTTTGTGCTTTCAGAAAATGTTCACTGCAACTCATTTTATTGTAGTGATCATCACACCAGTTAAAACTGGCTTTTCCAAACTTTTTTAAAAATTAAATTCTGCTGCATGGACTATTATTTTCACAAATGCTGTCCCTCTCACAGGTTTCTTTAGTTGGTTTTTCCTCAGGTCTCAAATTAAAAATTGCCAATTACAGCTTTCAGCCATACAATATGGCTCTGCTACTATCAAATGCTTTTTTCTTGCATGTATGCTGGACAAATGAGGGAGGAAATTGCACAGATCAATTGAGGCAAATGGCTGTATTTTCAGTCTGTTTTGGAACAGTCATAAAGTATAATATCCTTCATTATGTAATGTATTTAATTTTTTTAAAACTGTCTTCCATAATAGTCCTCAATGGAAATGGATGATGCTCATCATATGCATATGCTTATATTTTAACTTCAGAAATGTCTAGGGAAGGTAGGCAGCCAGAATTTTCCACTCTTGGAGATGATAACAGTAAGACAAATGCTGGATTTGATGGCCCACTGAGAGGTGGTGATTATAGTGGTACTTCAGACAGCTTCAATCGTGAAGAACACCAGAAAACAGATTGGAAAAAGGTAGCAAATAAAATGACTGAAGACTATTATGCTGGATGTCCAGGGAGTTATGGGACAAGTGAGCATTTCAGAAATGTAAGTCTGTCTTCAGAACAAAGGAATCGTCCAATGAATGTATGTTTTTTTGTCATAGTTTTATTGGTAAAAATTTTAATTGTAATTATTATTGTTATTCTGAAACTGAATCATGTCGTTTATTTGGGATTAAAACCTCACCTTTGAATTCAAATTTAACCTTGCTTTAGGAGGCTTTTGGCAGTTTTCCCATGGAAAATTTACATTTTGGCTGGCCTGTTATTTTGATACAGGGTTTGCCCATAAGGAGTTTCATAAGCCATTGTAGTTATATTCACAATTTCCACTTTGTGTCTCTTTTTAATTTTTCATTGCTGCCTGGATGATGGAATTAAAAATGCCAATCATACTGAGTTGTCATGCAAAACTTAAGTATCTTTTTTTGAAAAGTGCAAGTGGTGAGCAGAACGATCCATTACCAAGAAAGGACCCTGACTATTTAAGTTCCTTATGATACTACAGGTGTATGTACTTATCATGTTTATTGACTGAGTTGGAGGTCTAGCCAGGAAAATATTTGGTTTGAGGTCATGATGTGCTGACTGAGCACAGCTAGGTCTGGATTTCATGGCCAAAAACCAGATATTCTCTGCCTGACCTGACCAAATTCAGTTAATAAAAATTTTGTCATTTGAGTACTAAGCATGGAAAATTTCAAAAATTTTGTTTCAACTTTAATACCATGACTGATAGACAGGTGCACATGGAATAACTGAAATTGTTTTTTTCTATATTAAACTTTTCCTTTATTTTTTGAGTCAGCAAGAAACTAACAATTCGTCAAAAAAATGTGACTTATTTTCTCATTTCTATTTTCAATGTTTGTTTATTACAACCAAGCCATAAGAGTTCAGGGCCCACAGCTTTTTCTTGACTGGTTCACATCAGCATTTGGCCCTACAGACTTCAGCTTTCATTATTTTTTACCATAGGATTGCATGAGTAGGGCCAGACAGGTCATACATTGTATGATGAATGGGTATAGTGGACAAGGGCAATTATGCTGGAAAAGCCTGCTAAACCATGTGTATACACTTTAGCTAAGTCTCTTGTAGACAGCGAACCAAGCAACAACAGTGATGGCTCGAGACAAGCTTCACCTATGTATACATTTACCATAGTCTAGAACATTGTACATGATTACTTCACATCTCATTTTTAATCTGTATGCATGATTTAAGCATAACAAGGTGTTACTATCAATACATTTCAAGATTTGAACCCTATAAAATAATCAAAACTGAACAAATGGAACACTGCCATAGTGAAAAGAATTTAGTGGGGACAATTTTAATGATAATGACCTTGCTGGGATAAACTTTTGACTTCCTGTGTGGACATCCCTGGAATGTCACTCCATTTTCCTAGACACTCCAACTAAAACCTGAAGATTCTTTTTGTTTGGCTGGCGTCTAGGGTCTCACCTGAAAGTTCTTTCTGTCTCCTCTTTTCTTGAGGAATGAAATTCCAATCTTTAGATTTCTCTAAAGGAGGTTCTAATTTGTGAGAGCATTTTATCCTTTGGCTTCAAACAAGTTAGAGTAGAGCAACTGACTTAAATTATTAAGGTCAAACTTCTAAGGTTGGTTATTTACAGTAAATCTAACCCAAACCAAGGTTCTACACAGTCAGTGAGCCTCTGGCTCTCTTTATAAGATGGTGGATTTAATTAGATAAATGTCCTTCTGCTGTTTGCTTTCTGCCTTCTTGAGGCTGTTCACAGAAATAAATGTTTCAGTAAAGGGTTCAGTTAAATTGAGGATTGTTTAGGAGGCAGTTTTAACTGTTACACAATGGCTTAACTATGTTTAGATAATCTAACCTTAGGGTTTATCTTCATGACAGTTGTTTATACATGTGAAAGTTAATAACATATTTCAGTGATTGCATTTAAGCTACTGCAGAAGGGATTTCTATCTTTTTTGTATGGCAAGGAACAATTTACATAACCTTTGCAGATTTTAAGGATAAACTGTAAGTTTCTTGACCCTGTCTTGGTCCAGATTTATCTTCTTTGTAACAACAAATCCTATGAGACCAAACTTTTCTTTCCATCATCATTTATCATCACTGCTTCATGTCAGGTCAATCAGCTCAAGTGGGTATGCATATTGCTTGTAAGGTCCATATTGGGGCAACAGTAGGTTAGCATTTATTACACACCCTAACTCTCTTACAACACTCTTTCTGATGCTCTCTTTTGTATTGGTACAAGAATTGTTACCCGCATGATCCGTAAATATTTCTGTCAATTAGTGGGCTCTCTCTCTCTTGGGTGTGGTCAATCAATCCAGCTATTCTCATATTTCAGCTCAAATGACTGGGAGCTTTAGTCCACTTTGCTTAATCTTTCCCTGATGCAGCCCACCATGGGAAACAACTGTAGGCAAATAATCTGCTGGAATTCTGTGCTCATGGTCAACCACAAAGCAGAGCAACTATGATGAGGGCCTCTGTTCTGATTGTGTTCACTTGGATGAGAACCTTTTCAAAAGTGATCTTATCTTGCCATTTGATTTAAAGAGTTTGCTTCAACTGGTGAAGTTTTTTTCAGCTAATATATTTGGTAAAATATGTCAAAGAAAGGAGGGCACCAGTGTTGGACACTGGGACATCAGTCAATAACCACATGTCATGGCAGAATCAAAGTTAACTTGGATCCTTAAATTTGGGATAGATACTGTGCTGCCCGAAAGAGCTGCACCATCAGTTGTGTATCAGTCAGTGTTCGTCAAAACTCTTCTCCCAGCGCAGTTGGATAATTTCCCATTACACCAAGACTTAATGTACATGCCTTTTAATTGGCATTTTTTCAAGTACAGCAGGGAAGTAATCTACAGGTCCTAAGGCTTAATAAGCCTTCCAGAAGAAAGTTTCCTGACTTTAAACTGGTTCCAGTTTATTTTTGCCAAAACTTCTGAAAGAGGCAAATATCTGAAATATCAAAATATGCTGTCTTATCCTGGTGCTTTTCCACATCCACTGCT